CTAAGTCTTACCTACTGAGGACAACCCTACCTGTAATCTATACACCAGTGTTAACTGTTATATCACACCTACTGAGGACAACCCTACCTGTAATCTATACACCAGTGTTAACTGTACGTGTTAAGTCAAACCCACTTAGATACACTATTAGAACTAGTGAATGGCTTACCCTGGCATCGTAGTTTGGGAGTTTTTCTCTGCAGCATTCTATTTGGTCCATGTATGTGTAGCCACGCTCTGACCTCAGTTTCTCCAACTTTTCATTTTCCTTATAGTTTTTTGGGTCCACCTGTTGTTAATTATTCAAATAGTTTAATCTAATATACAAGCCTTAAAAATGTTTCAAGGATTTGTCATCAAGTAATAAGTTGTTGCTAAAGCTATACATCTCTATTGGATTGTTAGTGGCAGGTTTAACACAACCATTTGGATATAAATGCTCCTTATGAACTAGTCCCTAACCTAGAGGTACAAGGTAGCAGATGACATAAATTATGCTCCTCTTAAAATGACAGAATCAGAGTTTAACCAAATGCTATATTACAATACACAATATTACCATAGGACCTGCCAAAGCAATTACACCAAAATGTGTGTGTGTGTGTGTGTGTGTGTGTGTGTGTGTGTGTGTGTGTGTGTGTGTGTGTGNGTGTGTGTGTGTGTGTGAAGGGGGGGGGGACACACAAATAAAGCAATACACGCCTGCATTGCTCACCTGGTATTAATCTCACACTTTTAATCTTAAAAGTGGACTAAAATACAGCTACAGGCAGAATATCAGTGTTTGATTCATAAGAAACAATTCAATTATTTAAATATATGACGCCTGTGACTTTGAATGTTGAACAAGGACATTAGGTTGAAAGTGGGTCAAGGTCACTCATTTGAACAAACTTGGTAGTCCTTCATCTCAGCACGCTACAGGCCCAATATCAGTACCCTGGGCCTTTTGGTTATTGAGAAGTGGTTTGAAGATTTTACAACATTTGACCCATGTGACCTTGAAAGTGGGTCAAGGTAATTCATTTGAACAACTTAGTAGCCCTTCATCCCAGCATGCTACAGGCCCAATATCATTACCCTTGGCCTTTTGGTTATTGAGAAGAAGTTGTTTGAAGATTTTAACATATTTGACCCCAGTGACCTTGAAAGTGGGTCAAGGTCATTCATTTGAACAAACTTGGTAGTCCTTCATCCCAGCATGCTACATGCCTAACCCTGGGCCTTTTGGTTATTCAGAAGAAGTTGTTGGAAGATTTTAAGACATTTGACCCATGTGACCTTGTAAGTCGGTCAAGGTCATTCATTTGAACGAACTTGGTAGACCTTCATCCCAGCATGCTACAGGCAAAATATCATCAGCCTGGGCCTCTTGGTTATTCAGAAGAAGTTGTTGGAAGATTTTAAGACATTTGACAATCTGTGTAAAGAGTTCAGTGATGTTCTGTGATACCCAGCAGACAGATTCTACAACAAATACATGTGCACAAGTCTGGCCATATATAGAAGAGTAATCAAAAGGGGAAAGTTTGTAATCTGTAAAATGATTGGGTGGGAGCGTGGAACCCTTAGCTTCTACAAGTCATAAAATAAACTCATTCATTTATTCTGTTGACAGAAATATAAATGTCATAATTTCTGAATGGTTTGAAGTGGAATTTCATACAGAGAGTCATGAAATGGATTGTTTATTCACCATTTTCAATATACCTATTTAGTTAACTTTTGTTTTTAATAATAAACTCAAAACTGGTTATTGTTCGAGTAAAACCTCCGGAAAATAAAGAAGTAAGAATGAAGAAAATAGCTACACATGAAAAGTATATCATATTTAATCAAGTTAGTAATGAGGTTATAACAATAAAATCATAATTGTGTACATTTAGAAAGCCTTTATAACCCTACCAAGTAAGTAAAATTCGACCTAGCAGGACTCTCAGTACTTTGATTTGTGTCTGTCGCCATCAACATTCTCTCATTATAAGGGATGATCCTATAGCTAGCCTATACAGCACACATATATATATATGTGTGCTGTATAGGCTAGCTATAGGATCATCCCTTATAATGAGAGAATGTTGATGGCGACAGACACAAATCAAAGTACTGAGAGTCCTGCTAGGTCGAATTTTACTTACTTGGTAGGGTTATAAAGGCTTTCTAAATGTACACAATTATGATTTTATTGTTATAACCTCATTACTAACTTGATTAAATATGATATACTTTTCATGTGTAGCTATTTTCTTCATTCTTACTTCTTTATTNTGTAAGGATCATTTTTCTGATTTATAATATATATATATGTAACAGGAGAAAGAGAATTACAATAGCCAGAGCAGGAATCTAATCCAGGACCCTTGATTGGTCCTCTTGACAGAAGCTCTACCAATTGAGCTACTTGGTCGCTGAAGCTCGACCCAGTCCAGTTCCGCTACATTCCTCCTAATCTAAGTCTTTGCCCCAGAAAACAACAGTATATATTTACAACCCAGGTTTGGGTTTCCCTTCGCAGCATACACCAAATACTTAAACAAGGGTTGGTCACAGGCACCACTGTAACAGTAGCGTACATGTCCCCTAATCAAGACAGGACTTTGGACCCGGGACCCTCCAAAATCTAGACGGATGCTCTACCCACAGATACTAGCCTCGTTTCAGTCGTTTGTCAATATATACACACATAGATTATATTATGGGTGTATTTACAGACAAGGCTAGTACCTGTGCGCTCTACCAATTGAGTTACTTGTCGTCATGGTTGATGGTGCATACGGTCGCAGTAGAACATTAGATTTTTGGAGGAAAACGGATTTTCAAATTGCATCTTGCAATCTGTACATGTAACGTGTAGTCTTTTAAATACATAAAGCTGGTCAGTAAGTAGTAACCAAGTCCTGGTTATCTCAATACATTTATATGACAGGCCTACTTAAATTGAGATCAGCTGCTTAAATAAACAGTGAAATCGTATTTAATATTACTGAGCACGTCTACTGATAACGTAGGCAAGTAATAGAATTTTCAAAACTAGATGTCATACCTTCTAAACGAAAAGAAGTATTTTTTAAAGAATCTGTTCCGTGCGTTACCCATGTAATCGTACACAACTTTTAACCACTTGACCTCTGACCTGACGCTTTTGACCCAGATCCAAGATGGCGGACGGGTCAACTGTCAAAACGTCTATCAATCAAAACACGGAAGTAGACTAGATCTAAATTCAGTGATCAAAATAACATGTAGATCTAGGCCTATATCAGTATATAGGCCTATAGGTAGTTCACTGACCTAGATACTGCCGTTGTGGTTATAAACTTACAAAGACGTACTCCACACCGATCTCCGCCAGCTGCTCTAAGCTCACATCCGTGTCATCTCGTCGATGAGGGAGGCGTTGGTCCTCTTCCGAATCGTCCATGTACCATGCTTTCACCATCTTCGTCTAATGTGTGTACCTGTTACGCACAAGCAGGACGACTCAAAACAGATCACTTCGACGAAAACTTGGAATACCTCGGACATTTACTTGTGTATGCATGTATATATGCATGAGTATACATATTCGGATCACCTTAGATGGCTAACAGTAAAACATGGTCTAGTAATCTTGTCTTGGTCTCTTAGCTAGTACACAGAGACTCATGAGAAAATTTGTTACAGCTATACTTAGGTGTAATTTGACATGTTTAGGGCTTTAGATCGACTTTCGGTAAACAATGACTCATTGGGGGGTGATCCATAAAAGATACTCGCATGTTCTGGTAATGGGGGACTTCAACTTTTCTAACATGATCAACTGGGAAACATGCATGGAACGTATAACTTGACTGAGTACAGCTTCGTGGAGTGTCATCGAGGATGATGGATCCGGAGTGTATGTGCAGTCTGAAAAAAGATGGCGGGGAGCAAGGATACCTCACTGACTTGATCTCATATTGTACAGTGAAGAAAACATGAACACGAGTTCAGAACACTAAAGCCCGTTGGGGAAGAGTGGCCATTGTATTCTCGTGTTAGACCTCAGATGATATATATATATATATATATGTACACAACAGCAATAAAAGTTGCGCGACCAACGAAAGTGCACGATAAAGCAGACTTTATTGCAATTAAAAGAGAACTTGAAGTTGAAGGTGGTCAAAATCTTCAATTAGTTGAAGGTGATCAAAATCTTCAATTAGTTGAAGGTGGTCAAAATCTTCAATTAGTTGAAGGTGTTCAAAATCTTCAATTAGTTGAAGGTGTTCAAAATCGTCAATTAGTTGAAGGTGGTCAAGATCTTCAATTAGTTGAAGGTGGTCAAGATCTTCAATTAGTTGAAGGTGGTCAAGATCTTCAATTAGTTGAAGGTGGTCAAAATCTTCAATTAGTTGAAGGTGGTCAAAATCGTCAATTAGTTGAAGGTGGTCACTAGATATGGTAGAACAAGAACAATTTGATTGGACAGAAAACTTCCGACACGATGATGTAAACTACTGCTGGAATGTACGCCTATTATATGGGGAAATTATGGAAGTAGTTAACAAATACGTACAAGTTTAATTACCAAATATCCGATGGATAAAGAAACCAGAGACATTATTGAAATGAAGCTCTCTCTTGAAATGAAGCACTCTCTTGAAATGAAGCTTTCTCTTGAATTGAAGCACTCTCTTGAAATGGAGCTCTCTCTCTTGAAATGAAGCACTCTCTTGGAAAGGGGGCTATTACCAGTGATGCTAAAACCAGAAAGGAGCACTGTCGAATTAGAAATAAAGCAAGCACGTAACAATAACACTTAGAAAGGAATTCGAAAATAAGTTATCATCAGAGGCTCAAAGTGACCTGAAGGCAATATGGAAATACATTCGTTCGAAGTCAAAAACGAAAACCGAAATAAGAGATCTCTATTCCGAACCAGTAAATACGCAAACGCGTAAAGAACAAAACGACAGGGAAAATACAACTATTTTAGCATCTTATTTTAAACGCGTTTTTGTTACCGAACCATGCGATGAAATGGAAATACCAAACGTTCCCGACAAAAAATTTAATTTCCCAAAGCAATCAATAAATAACAACCGTGAAACTGTGTTAAAAGAACTACTTACACTGAAAGTAAACAAATCACCAGGTATAGATAGAGTACATCAGTCTAAAGGAAACGGCAGAATCTATATCGGCACCTTTATAATTACTAGATCTATACAATATGTCATTGATAGTAGGCACTGTATCGGACGATTCGAACCCCCACCACCACCACCACCACCACAAATTAGCGATATATTGAAAAAGGGAGACAAGTGTGAGTCTGGAAATTATAGACCGGTCAGTCTAACGTCCGCCGTCTGTTAATTATTAGAAACAGTTTGAAGAAGTGACATTATTAAATACATTACGGTCAATTCTTTGTTATCTAAGAAGCAGTACGGAGTTGTATCCGGGAGCACTACTATAGCTTACAACTTCTCAAAGTCTTAGATGAATGGACCGAACTGTTAGATACATGGACTTCAAAAATACATTCGATACTGTTCCACATAAAAAAAAATCTTAGTAAAAGTCCTCATATGGAATAAGATAAGTGAAGAAATAATTAACTGGACGTCCAGTTTTATTTCGGACAGGCAGCAACGAGTATCATTGAACGTAACATCTGGAATACCACAAGGAAACGCTGATGTGGTATCCTACAAAAGGACATACACACACTTTCAAACTGGAGCAATAAATGATTATTAAAATTTTATCCTAAAAAGTGTAAATCTGTGCATACAGGTCGACCCTGTGGAGAAAGAACATGTTACATAGAAAATGAACTTTTACAAGAAGTGGAAAAGGAATAGGATATAGGAGTAATTATAGACAGATTTATCACATTTGAAGATCAAATAGTTACACAAGTAAATAAAGCAAACTCTATATTTGCAGTCATTAGACGATCCTTACATTTCCTAAACAACAAGAACTTTTTTGCCTTGCGAATTGTAAGAATATGGGACAATCTTCAGGAAAATGTGGTATTGGTACCGATTGCAATTTGTAAACGCGTTTAAAAATAGATTGGATAAGCATTGGGAGAACCAGGAACTGCTTTATAATTATAGATCTGAGTAACGTCACTTTTATCTATTATTAAATATTTCAATGTTATGATTTAGTTTGAGTCCGATGAAGAGGATCTTTATAGATCCTGTATCGGTAAATAAATTTAAAGTTTTCCGGACGAACTTCCGGTAATTTTTTGTCTCAGTTTACAGTCGATGGACAGACGTTTAAATATCCTCGTGTAGTGTCCAGCAGATTGCGTAGTATAACGAGATTCAGCTTGGTAAAATGGTTGCGCGGAAACCTATGACCAGACGACAATATAAGCTTAGATAACAAGCTTTTTCTTTTTCTTGCATACATTTTTACCCCGTGAATTATCCTTACGTCAATATTGTATCTCTACTCAATAAAAAAAAATACTCAATGGAAAAGAAGTTGTGTTATATTTTTTTCACTTTTTTTTATTACTTTCATTATTTCCTCGGCATTCCGATCATGAAAAAGTGACCCGCAAAGAAAACCTACGTACCCGGGCGTCATGTTTTCTACAAAGAAATCTTCCCCGGGCAGCCGTAGAAAACCACGGAATTGGATTAGTCTATCTAAGTCCGTGAGAAAACATACCCCCTAACTATTTGTTTTTTCCTTCTGATCCTATGAAAATTTAAGTGACCCCCGTAGAAAAATATACCCATATCTTTGGAAAAGGAAACATCAACTGACCTATGCACCAACTTACACCACTGTTATTGATTTTAATCCTTTACTAGATCATCTAATCCGCCCGGCCTTCCATCCGTCCGTCCGACACACTTTCTTGTTAACATTTTGCAGCCATTTTTCACATCCATCATTTGACCAAGCATCAAGAAAATAATCGCCCTATACAGACTAGTGTCCTTAATGTGTTGTTTAATTTGTCTATACATACTAGTGTTCTTAATGTTGTTTAATTTGTTTTTAGAAATATTAACTTGAGTTTTAGGTTTTGTATCGTAAATGATTATCCGGCTTGTTATCGGGCTGATCATTCTAGAGCGAAAATGCGAGTTTTCTACTTACGTACGTTGGATCTGACTGGACCAATTATTAATTATTGGTACAACATCAAATTTATATTATGCTACAAAAAATAATATTCCGCAGAAATTGACCCAGATTTCGCGTCATTTTTCAACGGTTGTGGGTTAGTTTTCTACGTAGAATTTAGAACTCATGTACGATGTAGGTTTTCTACCATCGTCGGATACCCATGGTTGATTTCGCTTCGGTTCTCGGGCTCATCAGTGAAATCAACCGTGGGTATTCGACGATGGGTCACTATTTCATGTTACGGGTGTATATATTTAAAAAGGAACATTGGATGTATGGTTAGCTTTTTATATATTCATATAGAAATTCCTATCAAAATTTAAGATAACATTTTATAGCTGCTCGGTACGTCAAGTATTAAATATAACTAATTGCTTCATTAAATTTCATATTAAATGAAAAATATACACGTAAAGAAAGGTAATATGGCCTTCTAACTTTATAATTTTTCATAAAGTGTGTATCGACGAAATTCATGTGCGATCTAGATTATATTTCAGACATCTACCATGAAGAAATAAAAAAAAAGGTTTTAAGACGCACTCGGCCAGTATTTCGACCTCGCTTCTCATCATCACGTGGATTTGATGCCGGAAGAAAACATGACATCATCAGACATACGCATGCGTCAATTCGAAGCTTCCGGTTAATATTATGTTGGAGTAAAGGACGATAGCTGCTGATAATAAACACAAAAATGCCACTATTTGCTAGTTCAACGCCTTTCGACAAGGATGTCGGTAAGAATAATATACCAAAGTATTGATACAGTTAATTTATGATACAATGTAGACTGGCGTTCAGATAATGGAGTCGATATTTTCGTTCTCGATGACATGTCGACATTTGTGTACAAAACGACATGTCTACAACAGCTTTGTCTTAACCACTATTGCCGTATTTTCTTTCTCCCTTGATTGAGAACATCAACAGATCATCCATACATTTAATTTTCAAGTTGCCAGAGTTTGAATTGTCATAATTTTAGGACATGTTTAATGCCTATTATCTATATTTAGACCATCTCGAATTTTCATTTTCACACACAGGTGACGAAACATCATACATGTGCTGTATTTTCATTTTTTATGAATTCGGATATGCCTTTTAAAAAGATATAAACCAATCTTTTTAATGGGCGTTTTTATATTCGCTTAAGTAAGCACAGATGAGGATTTAGTATTGTAATATGAGTCTATCTGCAAGATTTGGAAACATTAACAATTAAACACTCACTTCCTCCTTTTCCAAGATATTCACTGCTATACTCCACAAATAAGGAGCTGTTGTAGGTTTCGCAAAGGGAAATAGACTACTTCATGAATATCCATTGAGTGTAAACATTTTTTTTAAATCTTTCTTTTGTCAAAAATAGCCAGGGATATCCTCTGATTATATATGTAATAGGATGAGTCTGGCCTAGGGCACAATCCCCATGTGTGTCACACGCTCAGGTGCCCAAGTCCTGCATCGCCTATAGCTACCGTCCACCCAGGTTTGATGTTTCTATCGTTGTGTTGATATAAATATATATGAGAAAACACCGATGGATAGTTCCTATAATATTTATTAACAATGAATACGATGAATTATGTACAGATGAGAGACAACAAGGCTAAACGGACATAACAACTCTCACACTTACGCCGCACATGTACACATTAACGAAACACTACACAGGCTAAACTAAGGATAAAGATATAAACCACCCCCTCCCATCCTAACACCTATAATCCCTGCTTACACTTACTTCTAATGCTACGATGTGGCACTCGAGCTCTCCGGAATTCAATCCATCTGACTGCCCTGGTCTATAACGAAACATTGTATTTATAACCCAGAGACTCGAAACCCAAGTTATTTTTCCCGTTTCGATTCTGCTGACAAAAGGCTATGGAGCACAACATTCACGCACCCAAAAATGACCTTTTAGATCACAGTGCGCATGCACCGCCCTGATAGCAGAAAATATCCCTGGTATGTTGACCCCAACTCTGCACCAGATTAAGGACACTATCGAGACATCAACATTTTTTGTAGCAACCCGACCGGTTGGGTTGAGACTCATCTCTATTACACATATATATGGATGCTTCATCCTTTTAGCAACAGAGTTTTAATGTTGGTGGTAATACTAATTGGATGGGGATACATGTTGTTTGCTGACCAGGCCCCAGACTAAAGACCTGATCCAGGAATATAAAGATAAGAAACCCTCGTTCACATTCTATATAAAACACTGCTGACCCCAGCACGGACTAAAAACCTGATCTAGGAATATAAAGATATGAAACCCTCGTTCACATTCTATATAAAACACTGCTGACCCCGGCCCGGACTAAAAACCTGATCCAGGAATATAAAGATATGAAACCCTGGTTCACATTCTATATAAAACACTGCTGACCCCAGCCCGGACTAAAAACCTGATCCAGGAATATAATGGTATGAAACCCTCGTTCACATTCTATATAAAACACTGCTGACCCCAGCCCGGACTAAAAACCTGATCCAGGAATATAAAGGTATGAAACCCTGGTTCACATTCTATATAAAACACTGCTGACCCAAGACTAAAAACCTGATCCAGGAATATAAAGGTATGAAACCCTCGTTCACATTCTATATAAAACACTGCTGATCCCGGCCCGGGACTTAAAGCCTGATCCAGGAATATAAAGATATGAAACCCTGGTTCACATTCTACATAAAACACTGCTGACCCCAGACTAAAAACCTGATCCAGGAATATAAAGGTATGAAACCCTGGTTCACATTCTACATAAAACACTGCTGACCTCAGACTAAAAACCTGATCCAGGAATATAAAGATACGAAACCCTGGTTCACATTCTACATAAAACACTGCTGACCTCAGACTAAAAACCTGATCCAGGAATATAAAGGGATGAAACCCTCGTTCACATTCTATATAAAACACTGCTGATCCCGGCCCGGGACTTCAAGCCTGATCCAGGAATATAAAGATATGAAACCCTGGTTCACATTCTATATATAACACGCTTTGCCAGTCAAACACCCATCAATCACGGAAAGAGGTATGTCCACTTGAAAAAGACTTTTTTTGAGGGAAGGGTTTTGTTCACTTATGTAAGATTTTTATCCTGGCACTGAAAGAAGAGTTTTTCCATGGACGTTTTCTGTATTGTAGAAAAGGCGACTAGTGAGATGAATACTACTGAAGACTGGGGCCTGATAATGGATATAGTAGACCAAGTGAATACAAAACCCAACGGGTAAGAAAAATCTCTTGATATTTTCCACCTTGTTAATTGTCAGAAAGTTTATGTTTTTACTAGAGTGTTCATTGATCAGAATATTACACCAAGTTGATATTTGAGTGAAATTCTTGTTAATAATAATCTCATTTATCACATGACTACCCTGTTATGCAGTGTCATAAAGCCATCACATAAATTATGTGTATGGCACATGTGTAAAATCTTTCCGGAAATAACGTCAAAATTGAATAGGAACAATCGATGTGACGTCACGTCATTGTGAAGCGGACGCAATTTTCATCGTTTCAGAGGCGGCCAAGTGCAAAATATTTGTTTCATATCACAATTATACATTTAACTTTGTATTATATGATCAAAGAATCTGTCATTCATTTCCCTTCATGTCAGATTTATGATACTTGTTTTTATTTTTTCATATTTGCTCGCCAGAGGCTTGCAAACATGAAGAATTCAAAACTTGTACCAGAAATTAAATATGAAGGGAAACTTATTACAGATCCTCTATTTATCACATGACTACCCTGTTATGAGACTCAGTGTAATAACACCCATTACATAAATATTGTTATGAACCCACGTGTAATAACACCCATTACATAAATATTGTTATGAACACACGTGTAATAACACCTTCGAGGGTTTTGATTGGTCAGTCTATTCACATTTAGTGTTCGTTGATATGTGTGACATAGTTTCGTAAACAAAACTACGTTTTTTACTACGAGTCGTAAAAAAATATGGCTCCTTTCACAATCAATGATATATATATGGTCAGTATAGACAACAGTGGCCTCGAGAAAATAATACTAGTTAACCCTTTCACCCCTATGTAACTTTAGTAGACTCTACTATGCATTGATCTGGATGAGTCCATAGTGGTGAAAGGGTTAAAAGACCAAATGAATACACAGTGTAGATGGACAGAGTTAGTTTTGCGATTGATGTGCTGGGAAACCCATCTAAAACTGGTATCTGACGAGCCAACTAGGTCCAATGTTACCGGGAATACAAACCAAATCATGCAAATAAATCTCATATGGAATGGAAATTCATGTGAGATCCTCTATTTAATTTATAAATTAACATAGATCTGCCCCCCATAAATAACCTGATTTAGTCAATACATTTATATCACCTGGTTGTTTATAGCTTCAAAATTCATGACCAGTCATCACTATTTCCATGATAATTAATTATTAAATAAAAGGGAAATGAATTGAGGACAGATTTTTATTCATCTTTCAACAACTTCTTTTTTTCCACAAGGCAAGGCATTTAAAATCAAATAATGAATTTGTGTTATTGATTGATTGATTGGCTTGTTTTCCAGTCCAAGGGATTGCTTGAGGTCTATAGTGAAGCGTTTGAACCACATTGTTCCTATCGTCTCTATGCAGGCACTGACAGTAAGTATATCACTCCATTAAACAGACACTGACAGTAAGTATATCACTCCATTAAACAGGCACTGACAGTAAGTACATGTATATCACTCCATTAAACAGGCACTGACAGTAAGTATATCACTCCATTAGACAGGCACTGACGGTAAGTATATCACTCCATTAGACAGGCACTGACAGTAATTATATCACTCCATTAGACAGGCACTGACAGTAAGTATATCACTCCAGTAGACAGACACTGACAGTAAGTATATCACTCCATTAGACAGTCACTGACAGTAAGTATATCACTCCATTAGACAGGCGCTGACAGTAAGTATATCACTCCATTAGACAGGCGCTGACAGTAAGTATATCACTCCATTAGACAGGCGCTGACAGTAAGTATATCACTCCATTAGACAGGCCCTGACAGTAATTATATCACTCCATTAGACAGACACTGACAGTAAGTATATCACTCCATTAGACAGGTACTGACAGTAAGTATATCACTCCATTAGACAGACACTGACAGTAATTATATCACTCCATTAGACAGGCACTGACAGTAAGTATATCACTCCATTAAACAGGCACTGACAGTAAGTATATAACTCCATTAAACAGGCACTGACAATAAGTATATCACTTTATTGAAAAGGTCCTTATTATTTATTGTTAGTCTCTACGCAGGTACAGACAGTAAGTATATCACTCCAATGGAAATATCATATCTGTGCTTTAAATGGTTAGCAGTGAGTAAATCCACTTTTGTATAGAGATAGTAATTATACATATGAATATCATGATCACTTATCATTGATATTAAGTATGAGGCCAAAAATGTATGTTCCAGATAAGATTCATTATCTGAAAAAACAGGGTAGGTTGGTCAGGATATTTTTTTGAGGGGCTAATTTAAGAAAGTACAAAAACTACACAAACAAATATTTAGGATTTTTAAATAGTGATAAGGGATATACAGTTGGTTTTGATACCTGCCAAGAGAGTACATTGTTGATTGAGTGTGTACATTGTTGATGGAGTGTGTACATTGTTGATGGAGTGTGTACATTGTTTATGTAGTGTGTACATTGTTGATGGAGTGTGTACATTGTTGATGGAGTGTGTACATTGTTGATTAAGTCTGTACATTGTTGATGAAGTGTATACATTGTTGATTGAGTGTGTACATTGTTGATGGAGTGGATACATTGTTGATTGAGTGTGTACATTGTTGATGGAGTGTGTACATTGTTGATGGAGTGTGTACATTGTTGATTAAGTGGGTACATTGTTGATTAGGTGGTTACATTGTTGAGGGAGTGGTTACATTGTTGAGGGAGTGTGTACATTGTTGATGGAGTGGGTACATTGTTGATGGAGTGAGTACATTGTTGATTGAGTGGGTACATTGTTTAGGGAGTGGGTACATTGTTGATTAAGTGGGTACATTGTTGAGGGAGTGGGTACATTGTTGATTAAGTGTGTACATTGTTGATTAAGTGGGTACATTTTTGATGGAGTGTGTACATTGTTGATGGAGTGGGTACATTGTTGAGGGAGTGTGTACATTGTTGATTAAGTGGGTACATTGTTTAGGGAGTGGGTACATTGTTGATTAAGTGGGTACATTGTTGATGGAGTGGGTACATTGTTTAGGGAGTGTGTACATTGTTGAGGGAGTGTATACATTGTTGAGGGAGTGTGTACATTGTTGATTAAGTGGGTACATTGTTGAGGGAGTGGGTACATAGTTGAGGGAGTGTGTACATTGTTGAGGGAGTGGGTACATAGTTGAGGGAATGGGTACATTGTTGAGGGAGTGGGTACATTGTTGATGGAGTGGGTACATTGTTGATGGAGTGAGTACATTGTTGATGGAGTGGGTACATTGTTGAGGGAGTGGGTATTTATTGAAGTGAGATATTTTGTTTTGTGTTTTGATTTGACGACATGTTAGCTGTTGTAAGACGAATCAAAATCTTAGATAATCAGTTGAATAGTTATTTTGTTCACAATAACAGGATTTGAGAGAAGTAATATTAAGCAGGATAGACTATAAAATCCTAATGTAATTTTTTTTTAATTTATTTGTTAAAAGATTGCTGATAAAGAAGTACAGAATGTTAACAAGTTGTTGCTTTTGATTTTAGTTGTTGGATGCTGCAGTCAACAACTGTGGACGTCCTATTCATTTGGAGATATCATCCCGAGATTTCATTTCCGAATGTCGAACACTTATTGGTCAGAAGGTGAATACACGCATGAACTGAAATATGCTAGAAGTGTGATTTATGGTCATTTAAGAATGTGATGGTGAAATAAGAACTGCTATAAAATCATGAATCAATATGAAAAATAACCAAGTTATTAATATTAGTAATAATTACTACTACAATGGACATACTAATGATATGAAAAAAATGGAAGTTGGTAACTGTGAAAGACTGGTAGTTCCTATACCCGTTAACAGTCTAGTCTATAGTAACTAGTAACACTGGTAATTCCTATACCCGTTAACAGTCTAGTCTGTAGTAACACTGGTAATTCCTATACCTGTTAACAGTCTAGTCTGTAGTAACACTGGTAGTTCCTATACCCGTTAACAGTCTAGTCTGTAGTAACACTGGTAATTCCTATACCCGTTAACAGTCTAGTCTGTAGTAACACTGGTAATTCCTATACCCGTTAACAGTCTAGTCTGTAGTAACACTGGTAATTCCTATACCCGTTAACAGTCTAGTCTGTAGTAACACTGGTAATTCCTATACCCGTTAACAGTCTAGTCTGTAGTAACACTGGTAATTCCTATACCCGTTAACAGTCTAGTCTGTAGTAACACTGGTAATTCCTATACCCGTTAACAGTCTAGTCTGTAGTAACACTGGTAATTCCTATACCCGTTAACAGTCTAGTCTGTAGTAACACTGGTAATTCCTATACCCGTTAACAGTCTAGTCTGTAGTAACACTGGTAATTCCTATACCCGTTAACAGTCTAGTCTGTAGTAACACTGGTAATTCCTATACCCGTTAACAGTCTAGTCTGTAGTAACACTGGTAATTCCTATACCCGTTAACAGTCTAGTCTGTAGTAACACTGGTAATTCCTATACCCGTTAACAGTCTAGTCTGTAGTAACACTGGTAATTCCTATACCCGTTAACAGTCTAGTCTGTAGTAACACTGGTAATTCCTATACCCGTTAACAGTCTAGTCTGTAGTAACACTGGTAATTCCTATACCCGTTAACAGTCTAGTCTGTAGTAACACTGGTAATTCCTATACCCGTTAACAGTCTAGTCTGTAGTAACACTGGTAATTCCTATACCCATTAACAGTCTAGTGTGTAGTAACTAGTAACACTGGCAATTCCTATCCCTGTTAACAGTTTAGTCTGTAGTAACACTTGTAATTCCTATACCCGTTACCAGGCTAGTCTGTAGTAACACTGGTACTTCCTATACCCATTAACAGTCTAGTCTGTAGTAATTAGTAACACTGGTAATTCCTAGACCCGTTAACAGTCTAGTCTGTGGTAACTAGTAACACTGGCAATTCCTATACCCGTTAACGGGCTAGTCTGTAGTAACTAGCAACACTGGCAATTCCTATACCTATTAACAGTCTGGTCTGTAGTAACACTGGTAATTCCTATACCTGTTAACAGTTTAGTCTGTAGTAACACTGGTAATTCCTATACCCATTAACAGGCTAGTCTGTAGTAACTAGTAACACTGGCAATTCCTATACCTGTTAACAGTTTAGTCTGTAGTAACACTGGCAATTCCTATACCCGTTAACAGTCTACTCTGTAGTAACACTGGTAATTCCTATACCCATTAGCAGTCTAGTCTGTAGTAACACTGGTAATTCCTATACCCGTTAACGGGCTAGTCTGTAGTAACTAGTAACACTGGTAAGTCCTATACCCGTTAACAGTCTAGTCTGTAGTTACACTGGTAATTCCTATACCCGTTAACAGGCTAGTCTGTATTAACTAGTAACACTGGCAATTCCTATACCCGTTAACAGTCTACTCTGTAGTAACACTGGTAATTCCTATACCCATTAGCAGTCTAGTCTGTAGTAACACTGGTAATTCCTATACCCGTTAACAGTCTAGTCTGTAGTAACACTGATAATTCCTATACCCGTTAACAGTGTTATTCCTGATACCAATAGTGAACATCAAGATTTATTTATAGGGAAGTGTTTTCCTTTAACCTGTCAAAAACATTGAAATTTTAGAAACAATATTCCTTTATAGATGTATATAAAATGTTTGTGTCAGTGCGAATAATTATTGATTTCTTTGTTTCATAGGCACATCCTAAAGTGTCTGAAAAATTAAAGGGTCTGATAAAGAAATGGGCAGAATCAAAAGAATTTAAAAACGATCCTGCTTTAAGGTAAGTACAGTCATTGTTTTTACTAGGCTATGATCTGACTTTACCATTGAGCAGATAGTTCTGATCCAGCATCTTCTTATTGAAATCAGTAATTTTATACCCGGCCACAAAGTGGTTCCAAGTTTGTTTTTAGTTATATGGCTTATAATTAGCATAATAAGCATATACAGTTCAGGTCATTTAAGGACATGCCTCTGGGCGTTACATTGTTGGTCTCTCTGTGGTCCACCAGGTCACACTATACTGACAACAGGTTAACAAGGTGTTGCATATACCCAAACATTCTGAACTTAAAGCAGGGAAAAACAACTAAGGACTTAGTATGTTGTGGCCTGGGGACAGGGCCTGCCGCCTTCCTAACTTTGGTGAACAGTGTGAATGATGAACTGTGATTTTAAAATGTTGCAATATTTATTTTGTGATTCTTACTACTTTGCAGTCTGATTCCATCATTTTATGAAAGTTTGAAATCCGATGGACATGATTTTCCAGATCAAGATGGACAGGTATGATAAGAATTGAATTTTGAAATGAAAAACTTTGAAGTAATAAGGGCTTTTTGCCAACTGGTAGCACTTTCAACACTAAATTCTTCTACAGATCGATGTAGAATGCCATTCTGGTGAATTTGATGTCTTTAGTTTTTCTGTAACATTTACCGTTTACGTTGTACGCCAGTTTGAAAGATTTCCTTCGATCTTTTAGAAATATCGCAATATGTTAAAACTTGTTTTACTCTATTATCAATGACAAATATTTGGTTTATTTGTGATGGAAAAGGTTTCCCCAGATGTCCTCTAACATATGGTAACATTTTCAACTTAATAAAAAACCAAAATGTCCGTCATGACGTCATATCCAATTTTCTCTAATTGCAATACATTTCTCACTCGAGTGAATACTAATCTTAATGACAGAAAGCACTATGGCACAGGGGCGTGGCACGAATGTAAACAAATCCGAGGATAAACCACGGTTTGACCAAGAGTATTTGTTCATATATGTTGAAAAAGTATAGCTACCTCATCCTCCTATATATGTCATGTTATTGATAATACTTGTATTATGTATGTGAACTTATGGGCCCGTAAGGCCTTAAGTAATAAACGATTTGAATTTGAATTTTAGTGGGGGTTCAAAATTGTACAAATGATGGGGCTGACCCATGTGATTTTCATATTCAGGACATCAAACTGATGAAATCTAAACCTGATTTGGTTTAAAAAGGTCAAATAGAATAAGAAATGCCAAAACCCTTCATTTCACCATTATGGTAAAGTGAAGGGCCCTTGCCCCACCCTGATTTTCTCTACCCCAGACATAATTTTTGTGATTTTCATATTCAGGACATTAAACTGATGTAATCTAAAACAGATTTGGTTTAAAAAAGTCAAATAGATTTTTTTTTTACTAAAGCCCTTCATTTCACCATTATGGTAAAGTGAAGCAGCACCCCTGCCCCACCCTAATTTTTTCTACCCCAGACATAATTTTTGTGGTTTTAAGATAGAATACATCAAGCTGAAGTAAACTTAAAGAAAATGAATGGAAAAAAGTTTGTCAGAATAGAAATTGATGGAACCCTTCATTTCACCATGGGGCGGTTCATATTACCATATAATGGTAATATGAACCGCAGTTCTTTTCACCATAATGGTAATATGAACCGCAGTTCATTTCACCATAATGGTAATATGAACCGCAGTTCATTTCACCATAATGGTAATATGAACAGCGGTTCATTTCACCATGCTTCACAATACCATGCTACACCGGGATCTGCTTCACCCTTGCAAACTTAACCCCTGGGTCATGGCTTTGAGGGTTGAGATCCTCACCTAAAATAATATAAACAATTGTTGGGCATAAAGAGACAAGTGCTGTCATGATATTAGAATTGACCCAGGGATCTGCCCCACCCTTGCAAACTTAACCCCTGGGTTATAACGTTGAAATGGTTGAGATCCCCACCCCAAAACTATATATACAAATGCTGGGCATAAAGAGATGAATGCAGTCATGATCTTAGAATGACCCTTGGGTCTGGCCACAACCCTAGGGACCTAGTTTCTTAGTCACAGCTTGGAAACAGTTCAGATCCCCACCCCATAACCATACATAAAGTTGCTGGGCATGGACAATCTAATACACATATGCTACCAGGTGAGTGATACAGCCCCTATGGGTCTCTTGTTGTAAAAATGATACAAAATTGACCAAAAACTAATTAAATACACAAGGAAACTGTATTTTGACATAGATGCATTTTCTGTAGTACGTAAAACCTCGTTGTGACACAATAAGTTCAGTTTGTTCTAACTTGCAGCCGAAGAGAGCACCAGTGAGCACCGACCCTAATGTAGTCAATAACCAACAGGAGGAAGACGACATAGCCAAAGGTCAGTTACACTTACCTTCCCTGATAGCCAAAGGTCAGTTACACTTACCTCCCCTGATAGACAAAGGTCAGTTACACTTACCTCCCCTGATAGCCAATGGTCAGTTACACTTACTTCCCCTGAAAGCCAAAGGTCAGTTACACTTACCTCCCCTGATAGACAAAGGTCAGTTACACTTACCTCCCCTGATAGCCAAAGGTCACTTACACTTACCTCCCCTGATAGCCAAAGGTCAGATACACTTACCTCCCCTGATAGCCAAAGGTCAGTTACCCTTCCCTCCCCTGATAGCCAAAGGTCAGTTCCACTTACCCCCCCTGATAGCCAAAGGTCAGTTACACTTACCTCCACTGATAGCCAAAGGTCAGTTACACTTACCTCCCCTGAAAGCCAAAGGTCAGTTACACTTACCTCCCCTGATAACCAAAGGTCAGTTACACTTACCTCCCCTGATAGCCAAAGGGCAGTTAGACTTACCTCCCCTGATAGCCAAAGGTCAGTTACCCTTCCCTCCCCTGATAGCCAAAGGTCAGTTCCACTTACCTCCCCTGATAGCCAAAGGACAGTTACACTTACCTCCCCTGATAGCCAAAGGTCACTTACACTTACCTCCCCTGATAGCCAAAGGTCAGTTACACTTACCTTCCCTGATAGCCAAAGGTCAGTTACACTTGCCTCCCCTGATAGCCAAAGGTCAGTTAAACTAACCTCCCCTGATAGCCAAAGGTCAGTTACACTTACCTCCACTGATAGCCAAAGGTCAGTTACACTTACCTCCCCTGATAGCCAATGGTCAGTTACACTTACTTCCCCTGAAAGCCAAAGGTCAGTTACACTTACCTCCCCTGATAGACAAAGGTCAGTTACACTTACCTCCCCTGATAGCCAATGGTCAGTTACACTTACTTCCCCTGAAAGCCAAAGGTCAGTTACACTTACCTCCCCTGATAGCCAATGGTCAGTTACACTTACTTCCCCTGAAAGCCAAAGGTCAGTTACACTTACCTCCCCTGATAGCCAATGGTCAGTTACACTTACTTCCCCTGAAAGCCAAAGGTCAGTTACACTTACCTCCCCTGATAACCAAAGGTCAGTTACACTTACCTCCCCTGATAGCCAAAGGTCAGTTACACTTACCTATCCCCTGATAATGGTCCTCATACTGATAACTGGTTATACAGCATTTCTTTGTAGATTAGAAGGACAAAATGGCTGTCAGACAGCCATCTTAGATTTCAGGGTAAAAATCTGTTTTATCATGTTTATAATTATAAATTAACAAAGAACTACTGTTTGACCAAATAAGGTCACTGAAAATAGGTCACTGACCAATCACCTAAAATTTCACTTACTTGGAATGGTTTGAAATTTTCATCAAGTTCAGAAATTAACCTAGAACTGTTGTTTGACACTGTGACTTCCTTCTCAATACTGAATCACACACATTTATCATAACATTCATTTCCTGAGCTTCACCATGTCCTTCACCCTGTCTATCACTGTGCCCTTCACTGTGTCCTTCACCATGCCCTTCACCCTTCACCGTGTCCTTCAACATGTCCTTCACCGTGTCCTTCACCTTGTCCTTCACCCTGTCCTTCACCATGTCCTTCACTGTGTCCTTTACCTTGTCCTTCAACATGTCCTTCACAGTGTCCTTCACCTTGTCCTTCACCGTGTCCTTCATCGTGTCCTTCACCGTGTCCTTTACCTTGTCCTTCACCGTGTCCTTTACCTTGTCCTTCACCGTGTCCTTCACCGTGTCCTTCACCGTGCCCTTCACCGTGCCCTTCACCGTGTCCTTCACCGTGTCCTTCACCGTGTCCTTCACCGTGTCCTTCATCGTGTCCTTCACAGTGTCCTTCACTGTGTCCTTCACCATGCCCTTCACCCTTCACCGTGTCCTTCAACATGTCCTTCACCGTGTCCTTCACCTTGTCCTTCACCCTGTCCTTCACCATGTCCTTCACTGTGTCCTTTACCTTGTCCTTCAACATGTCCTTCACAGTGTCCTTCACCTTGTCCTTTACCTTGTCCTTCACCGTGTCCTTTACCTTGTCCTTCACCGTGTCCTTCATCGTGTCCTTCACCGTGTCCTTCACTGTGCCTTTTAACATGCCCTTAACCGTGCCCTTCACCGTGTCCTTCACTGTGTCCTTCACCTTGTCCTTCACCGTGTCCTTCACCGTGACCTTCACTGTGTCCTTCACCGTGTCCTTCACCGTGCCCTTCACCGTGTCCTTCACCGTGCCCTTCACCGTGTCCTTCACCATGCCCTTCACTTCTTATGTTTGGCACATTTACTTGATGTATGTAACAGGAACACATGACAAATATCAGAGCAACATGTGATTGTTATACTTGTCAGAATTATAGAAATAATATTGAAAACAAATAACTTGGATGGCATCATAGAAACTTTGTATTTATGGCTGTAAATATAATGTCAATATTAGTGAGAGCCGTACCTACTTTTTCAGGAATTTTTGTGTGATAGATATAAACTGACACATCAGTACCAGGGTACACATAGGAATCCAACGTCGAACCTCAACTCTAGTCTCTCTCACAATTCTCCCTCTAATCTGTAAGCTAGACTAGTTTCTTGTTTATTAGATATATGATGTACAAAACTGTGCTGCTCATTATATATTTTTTCTGTTTCAGCTATTGCACTTTCCCTAAAGGAGTCTGATAAAGGTTCGTCCCAGAAGACGACGTCCCTCTACCCCACTGGCTACTCTGTGTCGTCTGATTCGGCCACATATGCCAGCATCAGTAAGCTGAGGGAAGTCAGAAAGGTATATATACCATCTATCAAAAAGAAAACAACAATGTTTAGCTCCCATAGAGATTGTGCTGTTTTACCTTTTTCAGTAGCAGTAAAATAACACATAGTGTTGGTATTATGTCGACAATCACTTTCTGTTAATTCCTTATAATCAACCATCATTCCTGGATCAAAATGTAAAGTTCGAATTGTAAGATATTTATTATATTTTTGTGCAGGTGCGAGCTCTATATGACTTTGAGGCTGCAGAAGATAATGAACTTACCTTCAAATCAGGAGAGCTCATAAGTGTTACAGATGATAGGTTGGTACACTCCTAATGTTTTGTCATTAGGAAACCTTTGTCATTTCTTCCTTGGTTGTTTTGTTTTCTTGAAATTTCTTTCCTTTGTTGTTTTGTTTTCTTGAATGTATTGATCATGGTATGACAGTGATATTTGAATGTGTGAAATCTTGAATGAAAACTTCTTCTAGTCATTCCACTGAAGATTTTTATTGGGTTTATGCATGAAGATTAATGTGAAGTTGTGCTTCAGTATCACTGTCACCTATGCGTTGACCTTAACTTTGACCTTTCCCATTGAAAAAGTTAGAAATCGTTACTGTTAGGGGACTATGGATTGCCTTGCACTACTTTGCCTTGTTCATCAATGTAATTATAACTCTCCTGATTCTCTGGTCGTTACTTGATAATTCTGTGCAATATGAAAATAACTGGTTATAACAAAAATATTTCCATTTCTCAAGTATGTCTGTTATCTTACAAGATAATGGTTGGAAAGGCATATTTTCTTATGTCATGAATACATTCAGATCATTCATTCATATCTTAGATTACCTGTTTATATCTACCACCTGTCTGTAATTACCACCTGATTATAACTACCACCTGTCTGTAACTACCACCTGTTTATAACTACCACCTGTTTATAACTACCACCTGTTTGTAACTACCACCTGTCTGTAACTACCATCTGTCCAATGGACCGGTGAGCGTATACCATTGTACAGCGTCCATCTTCTGTCCTTTAAAGCGCTAGTAGTTCTAAACCGTGTAGTGTTTTGTTTTTTTTTACTAAATTTGGCCTGTATGAATCAAGGAAATTAACCAAAGGACTAGGGGCGTTTCAGGAAAGTTCTGGCATCATGAGGTATTTAGAATTAGTTGATATATATTCATAATCTGGAATAAACTGAAGTATGCAAAGATGAAAATTTCAAATTCATCCGACGATTGGTGAGGCTTAATAGTGGGAACATGGGATAAAGGGTTCTTCTTCTGTACTAGTGGAGGGGTTTAAACCAATTGGGTGTAGCACATCCTTGGGTAAAAGGGATTCAATGGTTAAAATCCTTCTTCTTCTGTACTAGTGGAGGGGTTTACACCAAATTTGGTGAAGCACATCCTTGGGTAAAAGGGAATCAATCTTGTATTATGTATTATTAACAGTTGTTATGGTCCCCCAGAGGTCAAAAGATTGGAACCTTATAATGTTGCTGAGAGACAGATCCAATGTTTGGAAATATTTGCAATATAAGATCAAATACTTGGCTTTAATATCCTGGTAAGTGACACAGACCCTCTGGGCCTCTTGTTGTAATTGTTTTAAGTACTGTGATCTGAAATATGTTTGATATAAATGCCATAAATTAATTTCTTTTTGATTCTAAGTGATGTCAATTGGTGGAAGGGTTTTAACCAGCGAGGGGAAGGTTTGTTCCCGGCTAACTTTGTCACGGCCGACCTATCGGTGGAACCAGAGGATTGTAAGTAGTGCAATATCCCACAACAGCTGTGAGAGACTGAAAAACACGCTTAACACACAAGCAGAACATAGTTTACCAAAATGTTTTAAAAAAATATTCCAATAATGTTTAGATGTATTTATCGTGAATAAAAAAAACAAGTGGTTTGAATTGTCATTTCCCTTCATCTACATTTGTTAGAACAAAGCCTGAAAGTGCTAGTCAGCATAAAAAAACCATGATCAAGTAATATCAGAAAATTAAAAATCAATGTGGAAACCAACCCGTTCAATTGACTGTAAAGAATTTAATAGACCCAGAAAGATGTTTATGAAGAAGTTAATAGACTCAGAAAGATGTTTAAAAAAAAAGAAGTTAAATATCAATATCAATGAAAAATTTGTCATGAAAATAATTGAAGTAAAATTTGTTTGGATGAAAGGAATATCTTGTGATCAGAGCTTACTAAAGCTGTACTTAAGGATGTGTTTATGTGTTCCTAGCTAAAGAGAAGAAAAAGGTGCAATTCAATGAGGAGGTCCAAGTGAAGGCTGTTGATGTTCCCCCAGAGGAGGTTGACATTAATGAGGTACTATAGACCTTTATACCTGTCACAGTTACACACCTTGGTTTCTCAAACTGATGAAAGCAAGGTCTCTATATTTCGAATACCTTAGGTGTAAGGCTGTCTATCATGTACCTGATGAGTGTAGGTGTCATGTGGGCCTTGTATCTGAGATGTGGGTGCCCTATCAGTAAGTGCCCTATTAGTAAGTGCCCTATAGTAAGTGCTTTCCATCATTTGTCCACACTTACAAAGCTGAGATTATATCAGAAGCAATGTCTTTGTGGTGTTGTAACGAGCTTAACTAAAGTCTTAGTGGGGTTGTTATGAGCTTTTGCAGGGTTGTTTATTTCAGAGCAATGATTATGTTTTCCCATGCTGTAGGCGTTTTTATTGGTATTGTCAAACTGCATCATCAGATGATATCATGTTTCAGCAAGAAAATCAATTTTTCATGCAGCTTGATAATAAAAAAAATATGATTAATACAAACATAAAAAAATGATTTATCTCATTTCGTCGTGCTTAAATATGATTTCATCAGGTTGAACAGCATGACAATACAATGGATGATTAAATATTTAGGGCCTTGCATTAAAAATGTGGATGCCCTTTAGTAATCACAGTGTCCATCCGTCTGTCTGTCAGCACTTTCGTTTCCGGAGATTATCTCATGATCCAGATTGCCTAAATTTCTGAAATTTCACATGGTGATATACTGTGATATGCAGATGAGCAATAGGGGTTTAAAAAGTTCCTTAGGTCACTGATACTAAAAATAGAATTGGGAATATTATTAACTGTCAAAAATACATCATAGAAGGCTGAACTTTCTGATATTTCTGATGATGATACTTTGTGATTATATGCAGAAGTGCAATAGTGGTTTAAAAATTCCTCAGGTCAAGGTTGTTCTAACTAAAAACTGGAACGGGAATATACTGTCAAAAATACATCATATAAGGTCCTTACAATACTTCTGTTTTATGACTGCAGTTTTCTTCAGGATAGCATGCATTCATGAATAAGGTCATATTCTAAATCTAAAATGATCACTTTTGGTTGGCGCTTATACAGGAGATACAGCTGTCTGCAGGCATACAGCGGGACCCTTGCTGACCTGTCAGTATTCTATACGGGTGATACACTGTCAGGCATACAGCGGGACCCTTCCTGACCTGTCAGTATTCTATATGGGGGATACACTGTCGGGCATACAGCGGGACCCTTGCTGACCTGTCATTATTCTTTACGGGAGATACACTGTCAGGCATACAGCGGGGTCCTTGCTGACTTGTCAGTATTCTATACAGGAGATACACTGTCAGGCATACAGCGGGGCCCTTGCTGACCTGTCAATTCTATACGGGAGATACACTGTCAGGCATACAGTGGGGCCCTTGGTGACCTGTCAGGTATACACTGTCAGGCATACAGCGGGACCCTTCCTGACCTGTCAGTATTCTATACGGGAGATACTCTGTCAGGCATACAGCGGGACCCTTGCTGACCTCTCAGTATTCTATACGGGAGATACACTGTCAGGTATACAGCGGGACCCTTGCTGACCTGTCAGGGTCCTTGCTGACCTGGCAGTATTCTATACGGGAGATACACTGTTCGGCATACAAAGGGGTCCTTGCTGACCTGTCAGTATTCTATACAGGAGATACACTGTCAGGCATAAATCTAAAATGATCACTTTTGGTTGGCGCTTATACAGGAGATACAGCTGTCTGCAGGCATACGGCGGGACCCTTGCTGACCTGTCAGTATTCAATACGTGCCAGGCATACAGCGGGACCCTTGCTGACCTGTCAGTTTTCTATACAGGAGATACACTGTCAGGCATACAGTGGGGCCCTTGGCATACAGCAGGGCCCTTGCTGACCTGTCATTATTCTATATGGGAGATACACTGTTCAGCATACAGAGGGGTCCTTGCTGCCCTGTCAGTATTCTATACGGGAGATACACTGGGTCCTTGCTGACCTGTCAGTATTCTATACAGGAGATACACTGTCAGGCATAAATCTAAAATGATCACTTTTGGTTGGCGCTTATACAGGAGATACAGCTGTCTGCAGGCATATAGCGGGACCCTTGCTGACCTGTCAGTATTCTATATGGGGGATACACTGTCGGGCATACAGCGGGACCCTTGCTGACCTGTCTGTATTTGGCGCTTATACAGGAGATACAGCTGTCTGCAGGCATACAGTGGGACCCTTGCTGACCTGTCAGTATTCTATACGGTAGATACACTGTTCGGCATACAAAGGGTTCCTTGCTGACCTGTCAGTATTCTATACAGGAGTCAGTATTCTATACGGGGGATACACTGTCGGGCATACAGCGGGACCCTTGCTGACCTGTCTGTATTTGGCGCTTATACAGGAGATACAGCTGTCTGCAGGCATGCAGCGGGACCCTTGCTGACCTGTCAGTATTCTATCCGGGAGATACACTGGGTCCTTGCTGACCTGTCAGTATTCTATACGGGAGATACACTGTTCGGCATACAAAGGGTTCCTTGCTGACCTGTCAGTATTCTATACGGGAGATACGTATACACTGTCAGACATACAGCGGGACCCTTGCTGACCTGTCAGTATTCTATACGGGAGATACACTGTCAGGCATACAGTGGGGCCCTTGGCATACAGCAGGACCCTTGCTGACCTGTCATTATTCTATATGGGAGATACACTGTCAGGCATACAGCAGGACCCTTGCTGACCTGTCAGTATTCTATATGGGAGATACACTGTAAGGCATACAGTGGGACCCTTGCTGACCTGTCAGTGTTCTATACTGGAGATACACTGTCAGGCATACAGCGGGACCCTTGCTGACCTGTCATTATTCTATATGGGAGATACACTGTCAGGCATACAGCGGGACCCTTGCTGACCTATCAGTATTCTATACGGGGGATACACTGTCGGGCATACAGCAGGACCCTTGCTGACCTGTCAGTATTCTATACGAGGGATACACTGTCAGGCATACGGCGGGGCCCTTGCTGACCTGTCAGTATTCTATACGGGAGATACAGCTGTCTGCAGGCATACAGCGGGACCCTTGCTGACCTGTCAGTATTCTATACGGGAGATACACTGTCAGACATACAGCGGGCCCCTTGCTGACCTGTCAGTATTCTATACGGGAGATACACTGTCAGGTATACAGCGGGACCCTTGCTGACCTGTCAGTATTCTATACAGGAGATACACTGTCAGGCATACAGCGGGACCCTTGCTAACCTGTCTGTATTCTATACGGGAGATACACTGTCAGACATACAGCGGGACCCTTGCTGACCTGTCAGTATTCTATACGGGAGATACACTGTCAGGCATACAGCGGGACCCTTGCTGACCTGTCTGTATTCTATACGGGAGATACATATACCCTGTCAGGCATACAGCGGGACCCTTGCTGACCTGTCAGTATTCTATACAGGAGATACCCTGTCAGGCATACAGCCGGGCCCTTGCTGACCTGTCAGTATTCTATACGGGAGATACACTGTCAGGCATACAGAGGGGCCCTTGCTGATCTGTCATTATTCTATATGGCAGATACACTGTCAGGCATACAGCGGAGCCCTTGCTGACCTGTCAGTATTCTATACAGGAGATACACTGTCAGGCATACAGTGGGACCCTTGCTGACCTCTCAGTATTCTATACGGGGGATACACTGTCGGGCATACAGTGGGGCCCTTGCTGACCTGTCATTATTCTATATGGGAGATACACTGTCAGGCATACAGTGGGGCCCTTGGTGACCTGTCAGTATTCTATATGGGAGATACACTGTCAGGCATACAGTGGGGCCCTTGCTGACCTGTCAGTATTCTATACGGGGGATACACTGTCGGGCATACAGCGGGGCCCTTGCTGACCTGTCAGTATTCTATACAGGAGATACACTGTCAGGCATACAGCGGGACCCTTGGTGACCTGTCAGTATTCTATACGGGGAATACACTATCGGGCATACAGCAGGACCCTTGGTGACTTGTCAGTATTCTATACGGGGGATACACTGTCGGGCATACAGCGGGGCCCTTGCTGACCTGTCAGTACTCTATACGGGAGATACAGCTGTCTGCAGGCATACAGCGGGACCTTGCTGACCTGTCAGTATTCTATATGAGAGATTCACTGTCAGGCATACAGAGGGGTCCTTGCTGACCTGTCAGTATTCCATACGGGAGATACACTGTCAGGCATACAGCGGGGCCCTTGCTGACCTGTCAGTACTCTATACGGGAGATACAGCTGTCTGCAGGCATACAGCGGGACCCTTGCTGACCTGTCAGTATTCTATACGGGAGATACACTGTCAGGCATACAGGGGGACCCTTGCTGACCTGTCTGTATTCTATACGGGAGATACATATACACTGTCAGGCATACAGCGGGACCCTTGCTGACCTGTCAGTGTTCTATCCGGGAGATACACTGTCAGGCATACAGCGGGGCCCTTGCTGACCTGTCAGTACTCTATACGGGAGATACAGCTGTCTGCAGGCATACAGCGGGACCTTGCTGACCTGTCAGTATTCTATATGAGAGATTCACTGTCAGGCATACAGAGGGGTCCTTGCTGACCTGTCAGTATTCCATACGTGTCATTATTCTATACGGGAGATACACTGTCAGGCATACAGCGGGGCCCTTGCTGACCTGTCAGTACTCTATACGGGAGATACAGCTGTCTGCAGGCATACAGCGGGACCTTGCTGACCTGTCAGTATTCTATATGAGAGATTCACTGTCAGGCATACAGAGGGGTCCTTGCTGACCTGTCAGTATTCCATACGGGAGCTTGTCAGTATTCTATACAGGAGATACACTGTCAGGCATACAGTGGGACCCTTGCTGACCTGTCAGTATTCTATACAGGAGATACACTGTCAGGCATACAGCGGGACCTTTGCTGACCTGTCAGTATTCTATATGGGGGATACACTGTCGGGCATACAGCGGGACCCTTGCTGACCTGTCAGTATTCTATACGGGGGATACTCTGTCAGGGATACAGCGGGACCCTTGCTGACCTGTCATTATTCTATATGGGAAATACACTGTCAGGCATACAGCAGGACCCTTGCTGACCTGTCAGTATTCTATACGGGGGATACTCTGTCAGGGATACAGCGGGACCCTTGCTGACCTGTCATTATTCTATATGGGAGATACACTGTCAGGCATACAGAGGGGTCCTTGCTGACCTGTCAGTATTCTATACGGGAGATACTCTGTCAGGCATACAGCGGGACCCTTGCTGACCTGTCGGTATTCTAGTTCATGTTATATTTTCATGTGGGACCCTTGCTGACCTGTCAGTATTCTATACAGGAGATACACTGTCAGGCATACAGTGGGACCCTTGCTGACCTGTCAGTATTCTATACAGGAGATACACTGTCAGGCATACAGCGGGACCCTTGCTGACCTGTCAGTATTCTATACGGGAGAGACACTGTCAGGCACACAGCGGGACCATTGCTGACCTGTCAGTATTCTATACGGGAGATACACTGTCAGGCATACAGTGGGGTCCTTGCTGACCTGTCAGTATTCCATACGGGAGATACACTGTCAGGCATACATCGGGACCCTTGCTGACCTGTCAGTATTCTATATGGGAGATACACTATCAGGCATACAGTGGGGACCTTGCTGACCTGTCAGTATTCTATACGGGAGAGACACTGTCAGGCACACAGCGGGACCCTTGCTGACCTGTCAGTATTCTATATGGGAGGTAAACTATCAGGCATACAGTGGGGCCCTTGCTGACCTGTCAGTATTCTATACGGGGGAGACACTGTCAGGCACACAGCGGGACCATTGCTGACCTGTCAGTATTCTATACGGGAGATGCACTGTCAGGCATACAGCGGGACCCTTGCTGACCTGTCAGTATTCTATACGGGAGATACACTATCAGGCATACAGCGGGACCCTTGCTGACCTGTCGGTATTCTAGTTCATGTTATATTTACATAATTATAAATCTTCACTTAGATCTTAAATATGGAGGATTAAACTCTTTAGGACGGAAATCAATTTCATGGAAGTTTTTTATTATGATTTCAGGAAAAGATTGACAACGTATTGCAGTTGATACAGAATGCTGACCCAACAGGAGAGACTCAGCCTGACTCTGAGGAAATGCTCCGACTTGAAGGTAGGTACACCTAGGTCCTTACTACTGAGAATTTGTCCAGGCTGTTAATACATTTCAAACTCTTCAAACGATGTAAAGATGCCTTGATGAAGTTAAACCTGCATCATTCACTTAGAGTATACAATGCAGCAGAATTATATAACAGTGACCTTGTCAACGCTCAACTAACTGCATATTTTTCAGGTTTTTTTTTAACTCATTCACCCCTGAAGTCACATTTGAACTCTTCCATTTCAAAGGTTGGAATAGTTCATAATGAAATTTCAGGGGTAGATGAGTTAAATATTTGTATGAAAATTGAAGAATAACTGCTTCACCTGTGGAAGGTGTGCAGTGTACTGTAACTAGGTCACTGTGACCTTCACCTCAAGGTTTAAGGTCAAATAAGTGTGCACAAAATATAGAATGAATCACACAAATTTAGAAGTTTAAGGAATAAGGGTTTACAAACATTTCTTGGAAATATCGGTTGATAACTGGGGACAGTTTTTTGTTGACAAAATCAGATTTCTCTTTTAATACTGTAAGATTATATATTCAATTGTTCTAAAAAGATAAATATGTAAAACAACAGTTGTGAAAGTTTTGTGAAAACATTGTTTGGTATAGGACGATTTCTGAGCTTGGGTTTTCCTATTACAATTTCCCAAGACGACAAATTTGTAGTATATATTCTGCCTTTAAAATGAAAAATAACCAAGTAAAAATCTCCCCGATATGAGGTCAATAAATTAAAAGGTGAACAAAAAGATTGTGTGTTGTAATGTAGTAGTAATATAACTGTAATGGAATGTAACTTTTCAGGTGTGATTCATTAGATACATTAAACTGATGCAGTATTTAATCATGTAATTACATAGATCTATATGATACTTATGTATCGGTTCATTGCAATCACTGCTTTAGTGTAACAGTGATATTAAATGGCCGTGATGAAAAACAATATTTGAAAACTGAATATATTCAAAAGCATGTCTGATAAAATTTCTCAACTTTTCATTTAAAATTTCGATGTTTTTGTTTTCCTTGCAGAGACATGTAAAGGAATGGGTCCACTGATAGACACAGAATTAGAGAAAATTGACAGGTATATCATGTCTTTTACATTCTTAATTATAAGTGCTGAGGAAAATTTGTGAATTTTAAGATTTAATCTCTGAATATTGATATAACAAATACAAAAATTTTGTATGATAATTTTTGTGTCGCCTACGACGGATGTCGGAAAGACACATAGGCACTGCATTTGCGGTGGCGACAGCGGCGTCAACAATGTTAAGGTTTTGCGTTTAGCTCTGTTTCTGACGAAGCTACACCAACAAAACCTCGATCATAGATGTAGCATGGGTAGTGGAGCCTACTGCACTAAAAACATTTCATTGATTTCTGCATTGTTTTGGTAAAAACCTCGAATTTCTGGACTTAGAAAAAAACTCAACGTTAAGGTTTTGCGTTTAGCTCTTACATATTATGCTGTTTCTGACAAAAAATAAATGCTAGAGCAACCAAACTTGGGTCAGGTGTATCATGGGATGTATAGCTGAATGCTTTACACACTTTACTAGCATTTCAACAATTTCTGTATTTTTTTGATAAAAACCTCCAATTTTTGGACTTAGAAAAAACTCAACGTTAAGGTTTTGCGATTAGCTCTTGCATGTAAGGCTATTTCTGACAAAGTATAAGAGCTAGACAAAGCGGGACGGGCGACACATATAATGACGCGTAATTCTTGTTTATAAAAGGAGTCAAAGCTTATACTTTTATATTTTACACTGGCTGTTCAAACATTTTTATCCATAAAATACTTAACGTATCCATGGTGGAAAATTTAATACCTACTTCATTTATGTATGACAGAAAACATGCCAGTCTATGTGAGATAAACTCCAAGGTCGTAGACGCCCTGCAGATGTATCACAACTTGATGAAGGAGGACCCAAACCCATACGCCTCGTTTAAGGGTGGTGTAGCGCCAGGCCCTATGAATTTCTCGCATCCAAATATGTCAATGACACAGCCCATATCTAGTCAGGTAAGCTCAGGTTGTCCACCCCTATTAGTGCAGAATGTTGTAGTAAACAAAATTTATTTAAGTGACGATTCTTTCCCCATATGTAAAGACCCTCAATTAAAACGTCCGTCAACTCTGTGTTGGAAATCTATTTCATTTGATGTGTAAACTTTTCAGATGAAAAATCATTTGTCCAGTGTACTTTAAACAAAAATGATCTGAATGAGGAGTTTCTATAATTGTAGAAATTTATCTGTTATATCATTTAGTTTTGATAAAATTAGAAAATGATTTATTGAGGTAAAATGGTTCGGGTTCTCATAGGAAAGTTGGATGTTATTTTTTCTGCTGTAAATTAGTCAGAAGTCCCTTTTGTAAGTGTTAACAGTTTGCTAAGTGTATGATGATTTCCTGTGTTCTGTGTGCTTCTGTAGATAGCTATATACTGACCTTGTAATACTTGTAGTCAATGTACAATGGCCAACAGCAGTTCAGGCCGGGACAGGTTCAAATGCCAATGCAAAATCAGATGCAGATGCCTCCCCCAGGTCAAGGTCAAATATCACAGCAAGGTCAAGGACAGATGCCACAGGGTCAAGGACAGATGCCACAGATGGTTGTCGGTCCACCATCACAAGTCTATGCACCACCAAGCAGTCAAAGTTTTACAAAGTTAGTAATAAATGTATTCCATAATGTTTTATATTAAGAAAAAAAGTTTTCAAAAGTAGAATTTCTCTTTTGAATTATTAAATGAATTATAAACAGGATTGGCAAAAACACTGTAGGCACATGTACATTATACGTCTTTATGAAGTTAAGTTTCAAACATTACAGCATGCTTTTAATTCAAATTTCAACTCCATGGATGGTGATGATGTAATTTGACAAAATTCTTTTCAAGTGTTAAAAATGAGGGAACCATAAAATAGTGGTGATTCATACTCATATATAATTTGTGTATGATTTTTTTTTTTAGAGTTAATTATATGATTTGATAACTGGGATGTTATGATATGATGGAAGAGATATTTTTGTGATAATCATAAACCTATACCAGTTTGTCACATGTCACATGTCACCGGCGCAGTGCCAAAATTTGGCCAAAATTTCCTCAGTATACAGAATATGCTACTATAGCCTCTCTGATTAAAGTGTGGTATTTTTATGTTCCAGTGTACCCAGTGGAACAGAGGCCTACACATCGTCACAAGGCGTCACCACTGGGCCCTCCCACAGTTCCATGCAGAGCATGGCGCAAAACACAGTTCCTCCCCAGACACAGCCTAGCATTCAGAACAATTATCCTGCTCCCCCACCCATAGGGGCCCCTGGGGGCCCCCAGTTTTATCAACAGCCCCCACAACAGCAACCCCTTCTATGAGGAAAAAGGGAGAAGACTTTCTTTTTTTTTAATGAACAATTTCATCATGGTAATTATTAATACCATTCATTTCCCTGTGAAAAGTGCTGTGCTGCACAGGAACAGTCTGGCAGAGGTTGCCTGTCAATATCATTGTATTGAAATGGACCGAAAGTTTACGAGAAGTTTTCTTTTTCAGCTTGAAGGAGATGTGAAGATGAAATGCACGAGTAAGGTTTGAAAGAGGTGGATTTAACGAGTTGATTAGAGTTCTTCAGAAAATTGTGATACGACAAAGCTCTCATACTTCAAAGTTAAAATGAAAGACAGCTAAGTTGAGATGTGATTGACGTAAAAGAAATATACCATGTCAGTGATGTATAATGTTTAAGATTAATATCCTGTTGAATTGAACAGCATCAAGCTTTAATGGGGACTTATTAAATTAATTTAACTGGGATTTATATTTTTGTTGTTTCACATAGCTTTCTTCTCCATTTGACGGGGGAGGAAATATTGCCATATATATAGGATTGTTTAAATAGTGATTTTTAGCACACCATCATCTGATGGTGGGCTACTCAAATCACCCTGCGTCCGTGGTCCGTGGTTCGTCCTTGGTCCGTCCTTAAACAATTCTTGTTATCGGTATTTCTAAAGAAGTACCAGAGGGATCTTTCTCAAATTTTATATGCAGGTTTCCCTTGGTCCTTAGCTGTGCAGGGAAACTTTTGAGACTGATCAGATAAACAACATGGCCGACAGGCAGCCATCTTGGATTTTGATGGTGAAAAATTGTTATTGCTATTTATCAAGAAGTACCAGAGAGATCTTTCTCAAATTTTAAATATAGGTTCCCCTTGATCCCTCTTTGTGCATGTTATATTTTGGGACTGATCGTAAAAACAAAATGGATTAAAAGAACTAAACAGATCTTTCTCATATTGCAATTATCAATTCTATTTCTTTCTCATTAAGTACTGTACTAGTAAATATGTGAAATGACAAACTCACTTTGAAGGTTGGCTTTCATACACATCAGTATTAAATTTAGATCAAAAGTTACCTCAAGGTGCATTTACTGTAAACATGACTCGATCAAACAGATTAGAGGAAAGAAGAGAAAAGATCGAACTGACAAAGAACTAATGAAGATGGTACAAAGGTGGGCGCCAAGATTCCTCTGGGATCTCTTGTTTGGTGATAAAATTCGAAATTCCTAAGTGTTTTTTATCCTGGGTATAAAATCATAAGATTTCAGTAGAATAGTGTGAGACATTATTATGATAGTGATGTGAAAAATAATTGTGATTGATACAGAGACAATCCAAACCTATGTCTTCATTTGAAATTAAGTTATTGAAAGATATGATACCATTTTTCTCAAATACAAATGTATTTCTATTTTCTGCTAGTTGAGTTAAGGGTGAACAACTCACACTGTTTATGTTAATAAGGAGGGATACTTGTATTTAACAAGCTTATATATAATAGCTTTGCGAATGAGCATTTCTGCATAAAATTGGCCCAAATTCAAGTAGGGACCAAAGAACTACGGGGTTATTTGAGAGTGCATAAAAAAGGACTATTTATCCCAGACCCGTTTAAGTGTCACTAAGTTGGAGATGTGCAATTTCAAGACAGCATGTGTGAAGTTGTATAATAACGTTTGTCCTTTTTGAAATTGAAATTTATCAACAATCTGGACATTTGTTTTAAGTATTTGTTTGTATGTTAGTTTTTACTATCCCCCTCATTCATCAGCTTTTACAATTCCTATACAGTAAAATCCTGTCTAGACCTGTCATTTTCTGTTCCAAGTTTGGGAGCTTTCTTTGTAGGTATGTTGAAAAATTAATAGAAATCGATAATTTGACTCTAAAAAAAATTCTGAAACAAGAAAAGCATTCTTATTTTATGTTAACTCCTATAGAAAGGAATAGATTTGCACACAGGGACTTTTGTTTTCCAAACTGATATCAGTTTCTTTATTAATATTCTCAGCTCTTATCCAAATTCTATACCCTCAGGTAAAGTTACGATATTTACAATACCTAAATAAATGCTTTTATTCAAGGAAATCTAATGAGGATGAATAATAATTAGATAGTAACAGCTCAAAGTCGAAGGTTTACAGTTTATACCAGTTGTCGTTACCAGAAATATTAGTACCACAGATGTGTTATTGATTCAGTCACATCTAGGAATGAGCAAGGTCTGTATCTACTCAATTGTTTGTAAGTTAAAAATTGCAAAAAGGTTTTAATGTGATACAGTATATACAATAATATATCAACTGAAATATTAACAGAAATATTTATAAACCATACATGTGTATTGTACAGAATATCTATATAACAATGTTTGTATAATTCTGTGTTCAGGATTCAGATGTAAATCCTCTCCGGTAATTATGGCTACTGGATTAGTTACTTAGGAAAAGGGAGCGGAATTTAGCATCAACATTTTCAAACATCTACATAATTCAGAAAATAACAAAGATATAAAAAAGTTGGAAAAAATTAATGTGAGTAAAGGGTATATAGTGTTCCTGAGAAATTGACACTTAATCTGTAAATGATGCTGATTGCTATGAAATCATGCTTACCAAACTGTTGGTGCAATATTTGTGCAAACATTTGAAAATGTGTACTCTATGAACCCTCAAGAAATACACTTTATCCAATACAATTTCCTTGTTCTTTTTGGCAGTTTGCATGTTTTTATGAAAATGACATTTTCCGCAGTGCTGTATGTAGAACCTGAACTCATGCCTCTAGGTTTGATTGAGCGACCTCTCTTAGGAACCCTTTACCGTGGACTTTATCGGTCAAAATAATGAGTAAGTCAGCTCGGGACTAATTTGTTTGTATTGGAAAGTAGCATTTATATAATTTCAAGTTTGGAAGTCGATTACGGACCCACCATTAATTTCCTTTCATTTGTAGAATAAGTGAACACAGGTTTTATGTATATAAGAGTGTATCATATAACTTGTTTGACTAACATTTCAGGTAGTGCTTGGTACCTGTTACAAATGTAAAAATATACAAAGTGGGTAGAAGTGAAAACATGTTAATACATGGACAGTTATTTGTATTTCAATACTGAATCGATCTCTGGTTTGTGTTGTGATTCAATATCAAAGCTTCAGGTGTTTTACTGTGGGTGCAGCCTAAGTTGGAAAGCTTGAGAATGTATATGTTTGTGTTTTACTGTGGGTGCAGCCTAAGTTGGAAAGCTTGAGAATGTATATGTTTGTGTTTACTGTCGGTGCAGCCTAAGTTGGAAAGCTTGAGAATGTATATGTTTGTGTGTATATACAGACTTTATGTAGAGTTCCATTATAATAGGATTGTACTGTTTGTTTGAAGCTTACGAACAAAATGTTTATCAACTCGCCCAACATGGTGGACATTATATATTACAAAATGTAAAATGGTTAAAACGTTTATAAATGTGATAATATTCAGAGGGGATGATTATATCTCCTCAAGATTGTGGTAAGTCATAGTGAGAGACGAGTACATGGTGTATGTAAGGATGGGTGGAGGATAACCTGTGATATGTTTATGTGTAGTGTGGATCTGGTAAACACTACCATCTAGTAACCGTACATTTGTTATTATGTGTTTGTTATATTTCATTATGATGAAAATACTGATTATTTCTTTGACATTTATTTATATAATTATAACGTTGGTCTAATTTCTTTAATGCTTTTTTAAAATTAAAGTGAAGTGATTTACTGACGGAAATAAAACGTATTGGGATACAAACTAAGATAATGTAACTTTGTATACTCAAGTCATCATTATAGATATTATATACATGTACATGATTGTAAATGAAGTTCAACTTGAAAATCTTTTAAAACTCTCCAATCAGTTTGAAGTTCATTGAAGAATTAAGATAAGCCTTTTTGAATCAGCTTCATTAAATGAGATTTCTGATGAACTGAGACTGTTTTTCCAATCAAAACACATTTTTTTTTGTATTGCAAACTATTCTTTAAGCGATTCATTTTCATCAAAAAGTGTATTATTGTAAAACAAAAAAAGTACACTTATACAGGAGTGGTGGTGTGTAGGTGGGAGTGCTTGTTTGATGTGAGCTGATCTGGCCGTCCGGTGTTCTAGGTCGTCCTCTCTACATTGTCCGACGGGCTATATTTTAGGTACAAACACTGCCTGATGGTACTCCTGCACACACACAGACTTGCTTGTGTGTTTAATGTTTACATGTACATAAGATGATTTGAACAATTGAAATTTCATTAATTATTTTTAGAATGGTAGCGTTTTTGTTTTGAGAAATGTCTTTTTTTACAACTATTTGTATGCAGAGACCATCTCTGATAAGGGATCACTTTGAAGTCATCACTTGTGTGCTCTATCTGTAGTTAAAATGTTAGACTTTCTTCCTGAAGTTATGAACTGCTAATATATAAGGTGCTGGAGAAGGTTTCGAACAATAAACTCTGGTCTTATTTGATATTACTTTAATGTCCTGTTTATATAAAATTCTGTAGTTCAAGGTTTATAAAACCTTCCTAATCATTATCTATCGACAAAGTTCCTATAGGGAACAACATAATCATCGACAGTCACTAGATCTCGGCTGGTCCTCCATCAGGGAGTGGGCGGTCCTCTCCTCTGTCACATCGACAGTCAATAGATCTCTGCTGGTCCTCCATCAGGGAGTGGATGGTTCTCACCTCTGTCAAATCGACAGTCTGTAGAATTTGGCTGGTCCTCCATCAGGGTTACCATCACAGTCTGTACTGACGAGGCCTGATGGCCCTTACCCTCATATAGTACTTGGTAGTTACCATCACCTGTCACAGTCTGTACTGACGAGGCCTAATGGCCCTAACCCTTATATAGTACTTTGTAGTTACCATCACATGTCACAGTCTGTACTGACGAGGCCTGTTGGCCCTAACCCTTATATAGTACTTTGTAGTTACCATCACATGTCACAGTCTTACTGACGAGGCCTGATGGCTCTAACCCTTATATAGTACTTGGTAGTGACCATCACTTGTCACAGTCTGTACTGACGAGGCCTAATGGCCCTAACCCTTATATAGTACTTGGGAGTTACCATCACATGTCACAGTCTGTACTGACGAGGCCTGTTGGCCCTAACCCTTATATAGTACTTTGTAGTTACCATCACATGTCACAGTCTGTACTGACGAGGCCTAATGGCCCTAACCCTTATATAGTACTTTGTAGTTACCATCACATGTCACAGTCTGTACTGACGAGGCCTAATGGCCCTAACCCTTATATAGTACTTTGTAGTTACCATCACATGTCACAGTCTGTACTGACGAGGCCTAATGGCCCTAACCCTTATATAGTACTTTGTAGTTACCATCACATGTCACAGTCTTACTGACGAGGCCTGATGGCTCTAACCCTTATATCGTACTTGGTAGTTACCATCACATGT